CATGAATTCCACAGTCTCCACTCTGATGGTGAATTTGTCGATTTCTCTTAATAATTCTATCAATTTTTACTCTATACCATAGTTTGAGGCTATTATAATATTATGTGGATACAATATAGACTTATTATGTACTCCTGCTGAGTTGAACCTTTCTCATTAAAAAATAGCCTATTTGTATTAGTCATCTTTTGTTAACTTATGCTGCAGTAACAACATGATAGCATGAATCATGCACTCGCTCAAAAAGTACCCACTTGGAAGTGACACACTTCATATTACATTACTCAAAGCAGCCACATGACCACACCTAACTTCAAAATCTCAGTGGCTTACAAGAAGGAGAGTTAATTTCTCACTCATGTTATACATCTTTGGGGGTCATTTGTGGAACTACCCACTCTTCATTCTATCTTATTTTCATTCAAGGATCCAAGCAGAAGGAGCGGTCCCATCTGGGACATGATCTGCTTCTGGCAGAGGGAAAGAACAGTGGTTCTTTTTTTTTTTTTTGTGGTATGTGGGCCTCTCACTGTTGTGGCCTCTCCCGTTGTGGAGCACAGGCTCCGGACGAGCAGGCTCAACGGCCATGGCTCACGGGCCCAGCCGCTCCACGGCATGTGGGATCTTCCCAGACCGGGGCACGAACCCGTATCCCCTGCATCGGCAGGCGGACTCTCAACCACTGCGCCACCAGGGAAGCCCAGAACAGTGGTTCTTAAAGCTCTGCTCAGGAGGGCACACATAATTTCATTCGCTCTTCAGTGACCAAGCCTGAAGTCCATGGGGTGGGAAGTAGGGCCTCTTACAGGGAGGAGTAGCAAATTACTGAGCACAATAATAAAATTCACCACACTATTTTTAGCAGTGCTTTTTGCCTTAAAGTCTATTTCATCCAATGTTAATACAGCTAACAGACCCAGCATGGAATCTCTTTTACCATTCTTTTACTTCAAATTTTCTTTGTGTTTTAAACAGTGTACAGCTAGGAAACTCCCTGGCAGTCAAGTGGTTAGGACTCAGCCCTTTGACTGCCGTGGGCCTGGGTTCAATTCCTGCTCGGGAGACTAAGATCCTGCAAGCTGCACGGCAAAAAATAAAATAAAATCAATTAATTAATTTTAAAAATAAAGAGCGTACAGCTAAAAAATTTTTTTAAAGCTGGTGTTATAATTTTTCTTTTAACTAGAAGGTTTAGGTTTTTTAAAATATACTTACTGTGATTACTGAAATATTTACATTTATTTTTCCACTTTATTTCATGCTTTATATTTTTCCACTTTTTATGTTCTTTTGTTTCTGCCTTTATTCCCTTCCCCTTTTTTCCTTTCCTGCTTTTTAACAATATTACTTTTCTTCCTCTGGTTTGGTCTATAACTATTTTTATTCTTTCCATAGTAAGCCTTGAAATTTTAACATTCATATTTAATTAGAAGTTTAATGTTAATCAATATTTTTATGGACAGTGGAACCAGTCAATTAGATTGATTGAACTAATGGCTCCAATTCTTCACTTTCTCTGTATGCATACCCTTTGCCATAATCCTTCACAGCTCCCTCCTACTACAGCCTTGGACTCAGTCATGTGACCTGCTCTGGCCAATGAGATGTTTTAAAAAAGTCTTGAAAAATGTGGTTGTACATTTCCATTGCTCTCTTTTGTGTCCCTGCCATTGCCATGAGAATTTATCCCAACATCCTGGCTGGTGAGTGAGAGACTCACGGAGAAGAGTCAAGGCTCCCAGTCAAAACGATACTAGATCAGCTGACCCCAGACACGTAGGCAAGCCCAGGCAAGCTTAGCAAAGCTTTCTAACCAACCCCCAGCACACACTAGACATGTGAGCAATAAACAAATATAGCAGCATCCCTCCTAGGTTTTGTGGCTGTTTGTTATGCAATAGTTAACTAACACACACTTTATAGTATTTTAACTTCAGTAATCCTCTTATACTTTATTACGATCGTTCCATTATTTTGGTTTTGCCTTTTTTAATCACACAAATTATAATTGTTCTTGTTTTTTGTCTCTGATGTTTGTTTATCTTTAACCATGTTTGCCATTTCATTTGCTCACTAATCCTTATTAGTCCTCAGATCTTCCTCCTGGGATCATTTTACTTCTTCCTGAAATATATCTTCTATATCAGCAGTTCCCAAATTTCTGGCACCAGGGACCGGTTTTGTGGAAGACAATTTTTCCACGGACCAGGGGTAGGGGGTGGGAGGAGTGGTTTCAGGATGATTCAAGCACATTACATTTATTGTGCACTTTATTTCTATTATTATTACATTGTAATATATAATGGAATAATTATACAACTCACCATAATGCTGACAGCAGGTAGAGCTCAGGCGGTAATGTGAGTGATGGGGAGCGGCTGTAAATACAGATGAAGCTTTGCTCCCTTGCCTGCTGCTCACCTCCTGCTATGTGGTCCAGTTCCTAACAGGCTGCGGACTGGTACCAGTCCATGGCCCGGGGGTTGGGGACCCCTGTTCTAGATCCTTCAGTTAAGTTCTGTTGGTAGTAACTCTTAGTTTTTGTTGATCCAAAAAGTACTATGTTTTCATTTTTGAAAGATTGTTTGCTGAGTATGCAATTCTAGGTATAAGATTATTTTCTCTCATCACAGTAAGGCTATTATATCATTAATGATATTATGTCATGCTATTATTGTTATCATTGTTCCCATTATTGCTGTTGTACAGTCAGGAGTTAGTATCACTGTCATTCCATGGTGGATTATCTGACTTCTGTCTGCTTTTAAATTTTTATTTTTAATTTATTTTTGGCTGTGCTGGGTCTTCATTGCTGTGTGCAGGTTTTCTCTAGTTGCGGCGATCAGGGTCAACTCTTCGTTGCAGTGCACAGGCTTCTCATTGGGGTGGCTTCTCTTGTTGTGAAGCACAGGCTCTAGGCACTTGGGCTTCAGTAGTTGTGGCATGCAGGCTCACTAGTTGCGGTGCACAGGCTTAGTTGCTCGGCAGCATGTGGGATCTTCCTGGACCAGGGCTTGAACCCATGTCTCCTGCATTGGCAGGCAGATTCTTAACCACTGTGCCACCAGGGAAGTCCCCTGTCTGCTTTTAAAATCATCTCATGCTTCTGCAGTTTCACCAGACGGAATCTAGGTTTTCTTTTCCCCTATCCTGCTTGGTATTCACTGGGTTTCCTGAGGATGCTTATCTTTCATTGATTCTGGAAAATTCTCAGCCATCATTATTTGACAATTGCCTGGCTCATATTCACTTTATTATCTTCTAACATAACTGATAAGCATGTGATAGACGTCACTTTTTTAAATTTCCTTGTCTCTGGGATGCTTTTGGGTAATTTTCTTCAAATCTATTTTTTAGCTCACTGATTTCTCTTCAGCTGTATCTGTTATTTAACCTTTCCAATGAGCTATACACTTAAAATGTATCTGACTCTGCCACTTCTCTTCTCAGCTCATGGGTTTCTGTTTTTTGATTGTGGGTTCATATTCATTTGGAAGCCTATCTGTGGGAATTCTTTGAGACCTGGGTTGACGGTGGGTTCTTCTCAAGAGGACTTTGCTTTGGCCAAGTACCATAGGTACTATCTACCCAGATCTATTTTAAATTGAAATGTTCAGCTTGTGGGCTTTTGGACCATGCAAATAGTGTGGCCATGTGATGGCCAGACTTTGGCCATGCATCCACTAGGAAAATGTTTTACCCTTCCACCCAGAACCAAGACAGAGTCAACTTTCCTTGCTGCCTGCCTCTGCAGGGCAGTATTTTGTTTTTTCTCTAGTCTATCCTTCCCCAAAGATATATTCCTTCTTGGGTCCCAACCTAATGTTCCAATTTGTCTGTCATCCTGCCTGGACCCACGTAGATGTCCCCATAGCTGGTAGTAGCATTATTGGTTACCTACCTCCAGAGATGATTTTCAAAATATTTGTCAGTATGGCATATGCACCAAGCCAATCAGAACAGATACAGACTGTACCTGTGCATAACTTCTGAACATTAATTCTAACTTCCTAGGCTTATGTTTCTGCTCCCTTTCTGGCCTCAGATGATTTTCCTGACTTTCTCGCAAGGTTATCTATACATTTAAGAAGTGTATTTTCAATACTTCTCCTAGCAATTTTATATATTTTGTTGCCATTATATTTGGAGATATGTAGTCTATAATATTGCTAGAAATAAAGTCCAAGTAAGTTTATTAGGCTCATGCAACAGACATCCAGGAGTAAGCAGTCCAAAGCTGAGACTGTAGCTTAATGTCATATGAGACCTAGGCTCTCTCAATCTTTCTGCTTTGCAGGCCATGGCAAAGCACTTAAGCAGCACACTCAACTAGAAGTCCTAGTGGACTCCGTAAAAACAAAAACAAAATAAGCAAACGACTTTTCCAGAAGCCCCACTCAATGACTTCTATAATACGTATTATGGGCTAGAAGTTGGTCACATGCCTATGCCTAGTCCAACTACTGGCTAATGAGAATGAGTTTACCACGAAGAGTCTGGACCAATTATGAGTCATTCCCTCCAGTTGGGGTGGAGCTTTTCCCAGGGGCTCCCGGCATAGTGCTTGCCACACAGAGGGCACTGGTCCTTTCATTGAACACTTACTGAGCATCCACTACTAGCCAAAGGCTCTGTGGAGGCACAAAAGGATTTGACACAATCTCTGCTAGACAAACTGAGATAGGTCAAAGGGTTTAGATCTCGGTATCCGCTCAATTCTCAGCGGAGGCCCTAGAGCCCCTAATGCAGATTGACCTGCTCCAAGTTATACTGCGCAGCCGCCGGCTCTCTCTGAGCACGCTCCTGACGCCCCGCCCCAAACGCGAGTCCCGTATGCGCACATCGCTTTCTCTCTGACGCACCCCCGGAAGCACTGGCAGTTTTGGTGGGGGCTGGACCGGGAAGTGTTTCCGGGGGCGGGAGGCGCAGGCTGAGGCGGTTGCGGCGGCGACGGCTTGAACGGGCCTGGCGCCGGCGGTGGCGGAAACTATCCCACCGGTGGGCTATGTGAGCGTCGAGGACTTGGCAGGTATGTCGGAGTCTGGACAACGGGTAGCAGGGGGGGCAGGAAGGGAAACCGGAGAGGTATAAGGGCTTCTCTGCAGGTCGCGGCGCGCGCACCGCTGGCACCGCCAGGCCCATTACGCCGACCGGGATGCTGAAGCCGCGCGCGGGCCGTTGGAGTCCCGGCACCCCGGGTCCGACCCCTACTGTCTCCGGCCAGCCCGGCGCGCGTACTGCGACCCCAAGGCCCCTGAGGCAGCATTTCGTCCAAGGTCACCCCGCGGCGGCGGACCTCAGCGGGCCAGAGCGCTTAGAGATCCTGCCCCCCGTCGGTCCGCCCGCCAGCCTTTCGGGGGCGCCGGGTAGGCGCGGCTTGGCGGCCTCGGAATCGAGTCAAGGCCGGTAGAAAGACTACGCCGGGACTTCGCTGATATCTGCCTCTGTTTACCTCTGTGTTTCACCTTTTTTGTTGTCTGTGTCACCTGTGGTCACATGCCCTTTTTGCGCCTCAACTCGGCTCCTGTCAACTTTGTATTTCTCTCCACTTTGTCTCTCTCGAACCCATCTCTGAGTATCTGGACCCTGTCTTTATTTCTGTTTCCATCTTGCTTCTGTGTCTCCTGACCCTCTGTTTCCCTTTTAGTCCTTAACTTTCATTCATGGCCTGCCTGTCCGTCCAGCTCTTTGCCCATCTGTGTTTCTCTCTCTCTCTGCCAATCGTGTGTCCTTCTGTCTTGTTTTTGCCTCTCCTAACTGGGTTTTCTCTGGGCGAGCCTGCCCTGACCTCTGAGCCATGGAAGGTGACTCATGACCCTGTGAAGCTTCCTGCACGGGTGACAATGTCAGCGACTAGACTGCTGTCTGACCTCAACTCTGACAGGTGTCGCCCAACCTAAGTGTCAGGGTGCAGGAGCTCCTGGAGGACAGAGAGAAGGCCATCTCAGGGCCAAAGTAACTTGATGAATCCTTGCTTTTTCTTACCGTGGTTTTTCAGGCCTGCCCAGCTCCCTACTTCCCTTGCTCCATCAACATGGCCTCCAGGGTTCTAAAGAGCCTGCTTTCTGAGTTACAGCTGCTTAACCAGGTCTGTCTCCAGGCTAAGGAAGGGTCTGAGATCCTCTGCCCCTTGGGGCTCATGGAACAGTAGCAGAATTTCTGGGAGAGCTGTATGCTTAGTTCAGAGATTGTGTCACTGTGTACAGTTAAATTATGAGAAACATAATAATTTGGGGTTCTTCATTCTTTGCTTTACAAAAGTATTCACCGGAGAAATAAGCCAGACACAAAAGAGCAAATATTGTATGAGTCCACTTATATGAGGTATCTAAAATAGGCAAATTCATAGAGACAGAAAGTGGAGTATAGTTTACCAAGGGCTGAGTGGGAAGAGGGAGTGGAGAGTTTAATGGATACAGAGTTTTAGTTTGGGATTATGAAAAAGTTCTGCAAATGGGTAATGGTGATGGTTCCACAACAACATAAATGTGCTTAATGCCACTAATTGTACACTTTAAGTGGTTAAAATGGTAAATTTCATGTTAGGTATATTTTTACCAAAAATAATTGCTAAGTGTAGATTCCTGGAACTAACAAGCGCTATGAAAAATGTGACTTTAAAAATTCATTCTGTAGCTTTTAGGAACATTTAGTTGAACTTACGTTTCTTGATGCCTGCTCTCCACAGCCAAGGTCCTTAGAAAAGGAGTTTGGTTGAAAGAATTTAGTTAAAAATTTCTACTTGTAGCAGGTTCCCACCCTGGCTGTCCCTCCATATTCATTGGATTCAGTGCAGGAATCTGCTACACAAGCAGAAAATTTGAGGAAGATTTTAACTTTTCACATGAAGAAAACTCTTAGGGTTGGAAAAATAGTCTTTTTATTATAATAATGAAAAATTGTGTTATTTTCTTGTGTATTTTCTGATGGGGGAGGCCTTTGTTTTATGTTCTCTCATCTAAGTTATCGGTTTGTCTGTAAGCTAGTTTATCAAGGTTTCTTATAAGGTGTAGCAGCTGAATTACTACCATATTGAATCCTAGATACCATCGATTATTTTATGTACCACCAAGGGAAGAGAAAACACTGTCAATTAAGCTATTACATATGCTTCTTTACATTTTGTTTTTTGCGGTACGCGGGCCTCTCACTGTTGTGGCCTCTCCCGCTGTGGAGCACAGGCTCCGGACACGCAGGCTCAGCGGCCATGGCTCACGGGCCCAGCCACTCCGCGGCATGTGGGATCCTCCTGGACCGGGGCACGAACCCGCGTCCCCTGCATCGGCAGGCGGACTCTCAACCACTGTGCCACCAGGGAAGCCCGCTTCTTCACATTTTTAAACTTATTTAGACTTTTTTTTTTTTTTTGGTTGCGCCGGGTCTTAGTTGGGGCGGACGGGCTCCTTAGTTGCAGCATACGAACTCTCAGCCACGGCATGCACGTGGGATCTTGTTCCCCCACCAAGGATTGAACCCAGGCCCCCTGCATTGGGAGCGCAGAGTCCAAATCACTGCACCACCAGGGAAGTCCCTAGACATTTAAAAATGATACTCTAGTGTATGTATAAAAAGAAGAGAAGTGAAATAAATCGGTTAAAGTGTTCATTAACCTTCTTAACCTTCCTACTCTTGAATACTTTTCAATTCAGAGTTGCATCTGTGCTTTTCCGCAGTGTCATCTTTTGTGCCATCAGAAACGTTGATGAGGCTCTCAGGAATGCTCTATCATTGTCTTAGGCAGAGACAACTGTTACAACTTCCACCTGGACATCACATCCTGATATCAGAAATTTAAAAACGTGAAAAAAATGTGCCTCTTACAATAAGTTGAATATAGTTCTATATTATTTTCATGAACTTTTCCTTTTTACCTTATTTATGTTTGCAATTAGAATAGAAGGAGACTTGTCTTATTTGTAACATACTGAGGAAAAAACTTTTATTTTGTTGGTATGTAGAACATACATACCAGCAAGTGCTGTTTGCTGTTCTTGATTGAGCTTCTTATCCGGAATTCTAATGAATATGAGGGTGCAGTTAAAAACATTTCCTTGGCTTTATTGTAAGGTAATGGCAGGATGACTGATAAGTGGGGAGTTAGTGGTTAGAACAATAACTTCTCTTTTGAATCTCAAAGAATTTACTACAATGGACCATTTGCCCTAATGTTTTTAAGTAAACATTCAGCTGTGACATGAATCAAACTTCACAAAGTAGGTAGCTTGTTTTTTAAAAACCCTAAAATAGGTTTTACTAAGTTCTTTGGCTACAGGGTTCCAATGACAAAATATAGGGGTATTGATTGATAATGGTCTGGAGGCCAAAAACATTTTTGCAAAGGATAGTTTAATTCTGCAAAATTACATAGGTATCTGACCAGTGTTGGTTTCCTATTTTTGACAGATGTACCATGGTAATACAAGATGTTAACATTAAAGGAAAACTGGCTGACAGTCATATGGGAACTCAACATTTTTTGCAACTTTTCTGTAAAACTAAAATTATCCCATAATTAAAAGTTTATTTAAAAAATAAAAAGGCAGAAGCTAAGAAGGTACAGAAACAAAGCTAATATAACCAAAAAATATCAATCGTGATTAATTTTCTTTCTGCCACTCACCCACAAGTATAGTATTTATTAGCAAGGCACTGGTACACAGTGAATAGCATCAGCATCTCTTACATTTTCAACGTGATTTTTCTTTTCAGAAATCAATGTGATTTTAATTTGAAACAAAACTAAGAAATGGGTTCCTCTTCCTTGTTCATTCATACTGCTTTTTGATGGTCATGGCATAAGGAACTTTATCCCAGGAATACAACTCTGCATTAGGTAAGCTATAAACTTGCTAAAAATGCAGTGTTTTAAATTATTTACTAAAATGGTTTCTTTTTCAATAAAAAATAATAATGTAGTTGTATTTAATTGCCCTAGACCGGAAAGGTTCTTTTACTTCTCTTCTGAGGAGTATATATTGCACATTTTAAGGCCAATCACTGCCATACTTTGTACTGTTAGAGCATTTAAATTCCAAGAAATTTTCTGCTAAGTGACGGGGTTTTTTTTAACTTAGAAAAATATTAGATTTGGAATTACGCTTCTGTTTAAATCCTGACATACCACTTCCGAGATATGTGACCTTGGACAGATCTTTTAACCTTCTTGAGCTTTAGTTTAACTCGTGAGTGTGATGGTACAGGGGTATTACCAGACCCAAGTTTACATAGTCTGCTTTGTGAACTGTAAAGCATTTGACTTAAGTATTTTTGTACGCATGGGGTGTTGGTATTATTGTATATTTGTGCCAGTCTAGAGATTTACTAAAGTAATATTTACTGTGTTAAAATGTGCTCTCTACAGTAAGCATGCAAATTATCATATGCCATGATTAAGAAATCTCTGGAGGGCTTCAAGAAAAGTCACTCGTGGGTCGGCTTCCCTATTATATTGTTGTCCTCTGTGTTTTTAGGACATGTAATTGGTATTTAAATAGTGTATAAAACTTGACATACAATTCCTCAGTTGAATAATAAATACAGGCTGCTTTTAAACTTTTCAAAGTTGGAAGGGATCTTGGAGGTCATCTAGTTCAGTGATTCTTTTTATTATTATTATTAATTTATTTTATTTTGGCTGCGTTGGTTCTTTGTTGCTGCGCACGGGCTTTTCTCTAGTTGTGGCGAGCGGGGCTACTCTTCATTGTGGTGTGCGGGCTTCTCATTCTGGTGGCTTCTCTTGTTGCTGAGCACAGGGTCTAGGCACGTGGGCTTCAGTAGTTGTGGCACGCAGGCTCAGTAGTTGTGGTGCACCGGCTTAGTTGCTCCGCGGCATGTGGGATCTCCCCAGACCAGGGCTCAAACCCATGTCCCCTGCATTGGCAGGTAGATTCTTAGCCACTGCACCACCAGGGAAGCACTCGTTCAGTGATTCTTTAATATTTACCCTTTGTCCTCTGCTTTAAAAAAAAGCCAGATAATCTCAGTGAACAATGGAAGGAGTTAGCTGGGATTGATGTGTTTGTTTTAGAATTGTTACTATTGGATTTTTTTTTTTAACTTTGCAAAAGGTGACGTATAAAATTTCTAGTACTTCATTAGGTCTGAAGACGGTGAATAATTTGCTCTGGAGTTTATGAATGTGTTGTACATTGTTTCAGGTATTTATTTGTGAAAATACTCATCTTTACCTTCCATACTGTCTCACCTCTCAGACTCTATTGGGCCTGAGCAAGTGTTTTGAATTTAAATTCCAGGTTCACTGCTTACTGGTTTTATGACCTTAGACAAGTAGTTTAGCCTCTTTGTCTATTTCTTATTCTATACTATAGGAATAAAAAATATCTATCAAGTGGGTTGTTACGAGGATTAAATGAGAATACAAAAAGTGCTTTGCACAGAGTCTTTTACAATACATGCGTTAAATACATGGTAGGTGCTGTTACCTCTCCTACTAATTATGACATTTTCCTAGTTACCCGTTGGGATTGGTAACTACTTTACCTTGCATCACTCTGTTTTTTAAAACTGCTTTATTGAGACATAATTCATAGGTAGTTAAGAGGTTTTTTTAGTATATTTAATGGGTTGTATACCCATCACCACAACTTAATTTTAGAAGTTTTGTCTCCCCTTTAAAAAAAAAACAACTTGCAGTCACTCCTGGCCCAGTAGTTCCTTGCAGCCGCTGATTTACTTTTTGTCTCTGGATTTCCCTATTCTGGGCATTTCATATAAATGAAATCACACAAGATTTAGCCTTTTGTGTCTAACTTCTTTCATTTGGCACAGTGTTTCAAGGCTCAGCCATGTTGTCGTATCTATCAATACTTAATTCTTTTTTATTGCCGAAAGAATGGCATAATACATATAGTATGTAATAAAATGGAATAATATTCCATTTTATAGGTATACCACATTCTATTTATCCAGTCATCATTTGAGGACATTTGAGTTGGTTCCACTTTTTGGCCATTATGAATAATGCTGTTATAGACGTTCATGGATAAGTTTTCTGTGGACATTATGTTTTCATTTCTCTTGGGTATATACCTAAGAGTAGAATTGTTGAGTTACGTGATAACTCTGTTTAACTTTTTTTTTTTTTTTTTTTTTTTGCCGTACGCGGGCCTCTCACTGTTGTGGCCTCTCCCGTTGTGGAGCACGTGCAGGCTCAGCGGCCATGGCTCACGGGCCCAGCCACTCCGCGGCATGTGGGATCTTCCCAGACCGGGGCACGAACCCGTGTCCCCTGCATCGGCAGGCGGACTCTCAACCACTGTGCCACCAAGGAAGCCCCTGTTTAACTTTTTGAGGAGCTGCCAAACTGTTTTCCAAAGTGGCTGCCCCGTTTTACATTCCCACCAGCAATGTATAAGGGTTCTAATCCTTCCATATCCTCTCCAACACTTGTTAGTGTCTGTCTTATTTATCATAGCCATCCAAGTGGGTGAAAAGTGATGTCTCATTGTAGTTTCAATTTGCATTTCCCTAATGAATAATGATATTGAACATCTTTTGTATGCTCTTTTGTATATCTTCTTTGGGGAAATGTCTATTGAAATCCTTTACCCATTTTTCAATTGGGTAGTCTTTTTATTATTGAATTTTAAGAGTTCTTTATGTATTCTGGATACAAGTTACTTATCAATTATATGATTTGAATATATTTTCTCCCATCTTGTAGATTATCTTTTCATTTTCTTTTTTAATAGATCTTTATTGGAGTATAATTTTTTCACAATACTGTGTTAGTTTCTGTTGTACACCAAAGTGAATCAGCCATATGCATGCATATATACCCATTATCCCCTCCCTCTTGAGCCTCCCTCCCATCCACCCTGTCCCACCCCTCTGGGTCATCGCAAAGCACCAAGCTGATCTCCCTGTGCTATGCTGCTGCTTCCCACTAGCTAATTATTTTACATTTGGTAGGTTTTTCATTTTCTTGATAGTATTATGTGTACCTTGGGATACTCTTGCATCTTCCTGCCTACCCAGTCAGTTAGTCCCATCAATTCTGTTTTCCATACCCACTGTTACTTTCATTGCCTCAAACCTAGAGCATATTTACTGAAATCTTAGAATTGACCTTTGTTTCAGACGTGCTCCTGCTTTAAGACCATCAACAGATTATCCTTTCTGAACATACGTCACAGCATGTCACACAGAAGTTTTCAGTGCTGCCTCCAGTGCCCACATTTAAAGCTCAGACTCAGCCTTCAGCAGGATAGGACCAGTCATTCCTTCCAGATTTATCTCTCACCACTCCCTGTCACTTGTAGAAGGAAGCACAGGTAATGATGTACCTGCTACTAGCAGTGGTCTTGAATGGAAAAGAGCTTTTGAGAGGGCCTTCTGGTGGTAATTTTATCATAAAATAGGATCTTGCCCTCAGTGTGGTGGTACCAGTAACTCAATTTTTTCAGTGTGTCACACTCATAATACACTCAGCCTACAAGAGATTAAAATAAACCAGAATGCCATTTGGTTTATAATGTTTCTTTCTGTGTTAATAAGTGAGATAGGCTTACAGTTTTTGCTTTGTTGTCCAGTTTTGATAGCATGCTTTTATAAAAAATAATTAGCAAATTTTCTCCTTTGTTCCCTTTCTCCCTTCTTCCCCCTCTGAAACAGTTTATATAGCATAGGAATTAGTTTTAAAGAATTTTCCCGTTGTGCTTTGGGCAGTCATTTGATTATGTTTTATCATTTCTCCATAGTTACTGATCTGTTAGATTTCTATATTTTTCTATAAAGTTTTTATCAATGAGACTTTAAAATTTATTAGGGGAAAATTGTTTTCTATTTTAAAGTTTCTATCATGTGATCATATTTCATTTCTTATTCCTAATTTTGTGAATTTGACATTTCTAGATTTATTATTGTGTAATCACTTGTAATCAAATGAGCTCATGTATGCATTCC